ATAAGCAGGCAAAAACGCCGTACATAGCAGGGTTTTGGGTTGGTTTGGGTAACATGGTCGTAACCACCCCCCTCCCCCTCCCCCCCCCCCACCCCCCCTCCCAACCCCCCTCACCTCTTCTCCGGATACGAGAAAGTGAAGAGAGCACATGGCCAGATACGCGCGTGTATGGGCTTAGGGCTTAGGAGTTTAGGGTTTAGGGCTTAGAGGTTTAGGGTTTCGGGGTTTAGGGCTTAGGGGTTTAGAGCTTAGGGGTTTAGAGCTTAGAGGTTTAGGGTTTTGGGGTTTAGGGACTAGGGTTTAGGAGTTTAGGGCTTAGGGTTTAGGAGTTTAGGGTTTGGGGTCTAGGGCTCAGGCGTGAGGGGGCTTTTGGCAGCTCTTTCATTTTAAAGCCCCCAAACCCTATGTACTTCCAAAGAAACACCTAGATAAGCCCGAACCCGCGAGTCTAACCGCATACCATGAAACCTTCAAGCCCCACACCCTACTGCTTCAGAAAGACCACGCCCCGCACAAAACCCTTTATCGCGAAAGCACGTAACAACCAAATCCTCGTTACCCACATTTGATGCGAAACCTTATTCCCGAAGAAAGATACCCACTAACCCTTTCACTCGAAGCCTGAACGACCCAAACCCCATCCCTGAACAACATCGAAGCCCTGAACCCCACAATACTCGCCAGAACAAACATATATGTAGGCCCTACACCCGATAAACCCCACTCCCTGAGTGACCTCTCAGCCCCTAGGCCCTAAACCCCGAATCGTATCACCTCAACCCCAAGGCGCCCCCCAAAAAACCCCTTCGAAACAGCCACACCTGAGGCCTCTAAACTCTTTACCCAGAAACCCTATAAGCTGCCAGAAACCTCAAGTCGTGGCAGCCACGCCATGAACCCAAAAAAGCGCCGAGCAGCGACTTCCTGCGGCAAAACCGGGCGTCGTTGCTCTCCACGGTCGCGAGCTTCGAGCGCCGGGACGGTGTTTCGGCGTCGGCACTCATCCTTCTCTGCGGTTTAGGGTTTAGGGTTGTCCAAAAATTCCAAAACCCTAAAACCCTAAACACTCTGCAGACACGTCAGACCCTAACTTGAGGGTTCAGGGTTTTCTGGTACCTAGGGCTTCGGCTTTCCACGGGCTTTCCGGTTCCAGGGCTTTGGGCTTTGGGGCTTCGGCGTCCGGTTTCGAATCCTTGCTCTTGGGACTGATCGTTCGGAGCTTCAGGAGATCCATGCTTCTCATTAAATATATAATATAGGGTTTAGGGTTTAGGGTTTAGGGGTTTAGGGTTTAGGGGTTTAGGTGTTTAGGGGAGAAATGTGACGATTCTAACCCCAAAGCCTTGCCCGGTCTGATTAAGCCGCGAAAGTTTTAACCGCCGCTCCGCTAACCCCGTAACAACCTCGTAGGATTATCGGACTTAGTAAGTATAAGGCTATAAGTACCCAAATTGGGGCTGTAGGTAACTATAACCATAATAATAGCATTACAAACCCAGCTAGGCCCTACAGTCACTTCGTCCCAGGATCCTCCTTATATATCCGCTTCAGATCAAGCGTCTGTCCCATGATCCTCTGAGTATACCCTAAAAACCTCATTATAGACCTGTATAGAACCCATATGGATCCCTATATATCCGCTTCAGCTCAAGCGTCTGCTTCGGAGAGACGGAAGTCAAAGAGGCGGAGGCTTGATATCCGGCTTTCGCTCGCCGACCGCTCGCGGGAGATGAATCCAAGGAGCTCGGTTGGTGCAGGCCGATCGTATCCTCAGGGTTTAGGGTGTACAGGGTTTAAGTGGTAAAGTTTAAAGTTCAGGTCGGAGAGAAAGCTAAGGACATCTAAGTATTACAGGGGCCTCGATAGTTAGAACAGTGAATATTACAGCTACGAGACAGGAACATGAGTTCAAAACCTCTTCGACACGAAGCCCTGAGCCCATGCAGGAAATCACCGGAAATCGTAGACTCTCGACCGTCAACCCTACCCCCGACAAGCGCCGTGGGGTTCAGGGTTTAGGGCTTTAGTACTTAGGGCTTTAGGGTTTAGGGATCTGGGGGCTCAGCAAAGAAGGCCGAGGAGCGACTTCAGGCTGTTGGTTTGGCTCCAGTGGCTCAACGCCTTCTTCCCCGATGGTCCCCGACTTCCGTCGCAGCTTCTGCTGCAGCTGCCGTGCCGTCTGTTCTTCTAGAACATCCATCCTAGGAAAGAGTCGGGGGAGGTTTTGGCGCTTGAACTTATCCGTTGGCCTCTCGGGTGTTCTACTACATACACAATACCTCTCTCCGTAATAAAATAAAACAGCAACTTAGACTTTACAGTCTGTCAAGCTGTACTCCAGCATCATCCTGCTCATACCGACATTTCTGCAATACCTCTTGCTGACCTACTACTACAACAGCTCAGCAACTTCACAGTCTTTCCAGGTCTAGCCGAGCATCATCTTGTTCATGGAGGTAGTAATGGTCCCCGAGCTCGAGGAGAGGTGGGATCTCGTTCGATCCCCGAGCCGAGCTCGTACTTCCTTGGCGCTGGTGCTCGCGCCGGAGACCTTCCGACGAACTGGTCGCGAGGTCGAGCCCGGGTCTCCTCCTGAGATGGGATTTCGGGCTTCGGGTTTGGGGCATTTTAGGTTTTAGGATTTGGGGTTTGGGTTGAAGCTTCTTGAAATGGGCTCGGGGGTTTAGGTTTATTGCTTAGGGTTTGATGGTGTATGGTTTGGGGGTTTAGGGGTGAGGGATCCCTGCTTGCGGGATCCGTCTCACTTCAACTCCTATGAGAACCTCCTCCGCTTGCTTTGAGAGCTTAAGCTTAGGTTGGGCTTCCTCCCTCAGTTCTAGCATACTATACTGCGATACAAGCATTGATATTCCGTAATAGTCTATATAACATCCTACTATACACCAGAACATGCTACAGTATCCTCTGATACTTGGACCACACTTCCCGCTTCAGCCCAGGACTCCTCGAATCGAGTCCACTGAGCGCTCGATCCTGGTCAGCGCCCTGCGGAAATCCTGAATTTCCAGCAGCTGCTCCTGGGCTCTTTTTAAAGGAGCCTGACTCTCAGAGGGGTTCAGTGGTCAGGGGGCTGCTTCTGGGCTCTGTTTAAAGGAGCCTTAGATTTAGAGGGGTTTATTAGTGGTCAGGGGTTTAGGATTCAGGGTCGAATTTGAGTAGTCCTTAGTTCTTAGGGTTGAGACGGGTTAGGCGTACGTCAGTTTAAATAGCCCAAGATGGAAAACACATTATTTACTAGGTTGTATATCCCTCTTATGGTAACGCAAGTTAGGCTCCTTAACCCTAAGATACCCTACACCTCATAGTTAAACATGGCTGAAAACACCACAAATCCCATAGTTTCTGCGAACTTTGGACCAAGGGTCCTGAATCTGCGCCACGGCCACGGCCAGGTGCTCCATCTGTGGCAGAGTTTGCTCTGCGGTTGGCGGGTCCTGGCTCAGGGTTTAGGGTTTATACGATTTAGTGCTTTCGGGTTTGGGGCTTAGGGTTTAGGAGTTTAGGGTTTAGCGGTTCAAGGATTGGTTTAGAGTTTTAGGGTTACTTGGTTGACGGTTCAGGGTTTATGCGCTGGGGCTTTGGGGTTTCAGGGCTTCGCGGCGGCTTCAGGGTTGTGCATTTGCCCTAAACCCTAAACCCTAAACCCTAAACCCTAAACCCTAAACCCTAAACCCTAAACCCTAAACCGATCCTGGCTCTCAGTCGAGCTATCCATGTCTGGTGACCTCAGATCTGGAGAAGAAGCCGTCAAACCTGCAAAGCGGTGCTCTTGACCCTGTAGAAACTGTAGAGTAGAACCCCGAAAAAAACCCAACGTGTGAACCCTAAAGCTTTTACCCCAGACCCCCCAACCCCTGAATCCCTGAACATAAACCCCTGAATCCCTGAACATAAACCCCTGTACCCGAAGGATCCAGCTAAGTGGCTGGTGCTTGCTGAGGAGACAACGCCTAAACCGATGGAGCACGCGGGGATCTGAGCCAAAAACTGCGCGCAGGAGGGGGCTTGAAGATTAGACTTCAATGATTAGACGGTTTATAGTTTGGGGCTTCAGGGTTTTTTAGGCTTCATAAGGCTTAGGGCTGGAACCTTCGCCCGTGTCCCATGGAGATTACACGCTCAATGCAAAAGCCGAAGCGCCCTTGAAGCCCAAAGTCCGCAAGCCGAAAAAGCAAAGTTCTATCAATCAAGAAATGAGGATTCAGACATTGGGAGAAAGGCTCTCTTGCTAAGAGCTTTTGGCGAGAACTGAGGCGGATGGCATTCAGGCCCAACTATAATATTTAGACCACTGCACTTCGGGCGGGAAGATGTGGCATGCACGACCATGCAAAGCTTAACCCTGGACTCCGAACACCTTGCAGGTATGAGGCTTGGCTTTGCACCGGCCATGCATCCTGAAACCTCAACCTCTTCAGAACTTCCGAGCAAGGGCCACCCTGCTAACATCGCCAAGAAGGGGAACAAGACCCCGAGCCAAAGCCCGAGAGGAAAACACATCCAGGGCTTCGGCGCGCCGCCATTTTCACAGAAGGCTCCGATGGCAGAATCTCTCCGGCCCGTTCCCAGACTCCAAAACCATATAACTCAGCAATAGACCGTACATTACAACCGGCTTCCTCAATATAAGTTTCATGCAGATTCCTCACAAAGTCCCTAAGCATTCAGCAAAAGCGCATACCAACCCAAAAGCCCAGGTCGTGCTTTAGTTTTTGGAGTCTTGGGACCACAACCCTAAACCCTAAACCCCTAAACCCTAAACCCTAAACCCTAAACCCTAAACCCTAAACCCCTAAACCCTAAACCCTAAACCAATCACAGCATCCCAGCACCTCTCCGACTCCAGCCTGAGACGAAGGATTTTTCCGGGTTCCCGGCCCTTTCTTGCGGGTCCAGGGCTTACTAATTCAGCAGGGCTCCTGCGAAAGGGGTCTAGAAGGGGTAGTATGGGGGGCCTTATTAAAGATTAAACTAGGGTTTGTCGGCATAGTATAAAAAAATACCCTAAGCTCCCATGACCGACTTTTTTTGTAGGTTCTCATTATAAACCCCAGGGGATTTGCAGGGACCCTACAAAAAATATTGGTTTTGGTAGGTTAAGGTAGAAAACACTAACAGCAACCCCGGCCGGGGACTGGTATTGGTCATTGCTTCCACATCGCACGGGATAGCCAGATTTCGGGTTCTCTTTAAGGGTTTAGGGTTTAGGATTGAGGATTGAGGATTTAGGGTTTAGGGTCTACGTGCGGAATTATCCGGGCTGTTTCTGGGTTCTGGCGTAGGGTTGGGTGGGGTTGGGTTTTTGGAATTGGGGAGTTTTTTAAGGTTTAAAGCTTATACTTGGAGGTTCAGGGGACTTAGTAACTAGGGTTGTAAATCAGGTAACTAGGCTTATAAGTACTTATAACCCCAATCAGGGTACTTATAACCTTACTTACTAAGTCCCATGATCCTCCAAGTGGGGTTTAGGTTTAAGCTTAAAGATCCTATGAGTTGGGGCTTTACATTAGCCTTTTTTAAGATGTGCTAGAACTTCTAGATGTGACCGTCCGGATTGAACGAAGGTTGAGGGTTTTATGGCTGGGGTGTACCCTAAACCCTAAACCCTAAACCCTAAACCCTAAACCCTAAACCCTAAACCCTAAACCCTAAACCCAGAAGTAAGGTATATCAGAGCTGAGGTTAAGGCTTGAAGCTTTTGGGTGGACGGTGTAGAGCCCAAGGTTTAGGCTCTAAGGTTTGCGGCTGAAGGAAGTAAGGTTGATGAAGAGGTTTAGGGTTTATTGCTTCAAACCGGGTACTTTCAAACCGAAAAGCCTAAACCCTAAACCCGACGCTCTTACCTCCAAAACCCAATTAAACCAGGTTTAGGCCTAAACCTGGTTTAGGCCTAAACCTGGTTTGGGCCTAAGCCTGGTTTAGGCCTAAACACACTTGCACGGGAAAAACAAACCTCTGCACTGCACGCGAGATCTTCGATGCAGCGACATGTAGCCTGCACCCTCTGTAAATTTTGGGGTTTGGAGCTTTGGGTTTTCGTGTTCAACCCTTTCCGCAAGCTCCCTTCAGTGATGTACTTGTTCAGGATCAAGGACTGCAGAAGGTAGGGTGGAACGAAGGCAGCCCATGATACCCTGAGCAAGCAGCGTGACTGCGAACATGCACGTCATGTTTGTTTCGTCTGTGAGGTCCCTATCCAGGTTTCGGCCTTGGCATTTTCTGGTAAAGACCTGCAAAAAATCACAAATCAATGTACAGGGAGTGCTGCGATTTCTCGGCAAGGATGCTCCTGTGAAACTCTCCTTCCCTGGCAAACCCTGGGTGCCATCAAAGAGGATACCAGTGTCGAGTACCTGTTAGACAGTCGACATGATTTAAGTCGTCCTTCTGACGCCACCCAAGTGCTTGCGTACAGAGTCGGCGAAGGTTTTGTTGGGCATGGTAGCAACGATCACAAACTCCATAGCTTCCCGATGCTTCCCGTATCAAGTCATATCGGATTATAGACATGGTTGTCCTGACTTTCTGTGAGTTATTGTTGCTCTCAAGCCAGCATTCGTCTGACTACGACTACCAGAATGGTTATGCGTGTCACGTTCGATCTCTCACAACATCCAAACCAGACTTACGATCATCGTTACCATTCGCACCGATGTTACCCTTGTAAATGCCACAAGGCTGGCCAGTATCAACACCATTGTACAACAATACCATTTTAATCAACAACATCATTGCCCATGCCTTGGTCTTAAAATGACTATCGCAATCATTATTTGTACAAGGTCCATCCTTGCCAAGCCTGGCATCAGATCACAGCGCCACTTCGATTCAAAGTGCTCACCCCTTATGGTACCCTCCTTAGCAATCCTTTACAGTAGCCTTCTTGTTAACCCTTATCATAACCTTTGTACAACCTTCCATATTTCAGCACTCCTTGCTTCGAATCAGACTGCTCACCCGCCCGGCATGGTCGGCATGCAGGCAATAGGGCTCTTCGGAATCCCCTCCAAGCTCGTTAAGCCGTCATACTGGCACACGAAGATCACCCTCTGGTTGGTGTAGATGTAGGCCGCGTAGCACTCAGGGGCACCGTGGCCCCCCAAGAAGGACCATCCCTCCATGTAGGATCCGGCCTCATCTTCACGTTGCTACTGGCTTGACTACAGCGGGCAAGCCATCAGCTATGATCATAATTGGAGATAGATAATAAAGGGGGACATAACACGACTCCAAATAAAAGCCCCTTATCTCTTAGAGTGCATGACCCCTAAACCCTAAACCCTAAACTCTAAACCCTAGGCCGGCCTCATAGGGCGTGAGCACCTGCCCGCGTCGGTTCTCGGGAATTCGGAGGGCTTCCTCGACCTCCTCGTAGTTTCCCCAGCCCCAGTCACCGAAGACGACGGCTTCGACTTCCTCGTCGTCCTCCAAGAAGAGTCTAGGGTTTAGGGTTTAGGGTTTAGGGTGACGTTTAGGGTTGAGGGCTTATAGGGTTTAGGATGGCTTCGACCTTCTCCCGGTCCTCCAGGAAGTCGATCAGGTCCTTCATGCCACTTTTCTGGTCCTCCCCCCAGGACATCTTCTCATGAACCAAGAGTAGGTCGGAGCCTTCTTCCACACCTGCATCTGCAAAAGTCTGTGAGTCCTGAAGTAGCGTGTCATTGAAGGTAAGGTTGGCCTTCGTCCCGAAGGGAATGCCGAGCTTGCACTTCAAGCCGAGGATTCGGCCCCGCGACTCCACTTCGTGCGCCGTCTTCTCCCCAGCCATGGTCACCACATTGATCTTCAGAGTTGATTGCAAGCCCAAGGCAACGGAAAGTGGGGAGCTGGAACTCAAGCCGTGCTTCTCGAAATGCGGCTCCAGGTTCCGCAAAGTTTGCAAGCCCGGCTCCGGGATCAGGCCCTTCTCAATGGCTTTAGCTAAAGCCACACACACGGACTCGAAGGAGCACTCCACAAACTGATCACCGAGGATTTCCTTCACCTCTGCCTCGCACTTCTTCGCCTCATCGGCTCCGAAAGCGCTGTTGAGCACGCCTGGCGGGCCCCAAAGCCCACACCCCAAAACAGCGATCGAAAACCGGGCAGTATGAAAGGACTCTGGACCCACTCCCCAAAACTCTACAACAAATAGACACGTTAGAAATCACTAAAACCCAAAACTCTCCCCACCTGCCCTCCCTCCCCGCCTGCGGCACACTTGAAAAGCTTCCGCACTGCAGCCGCGTCCATGAGGCTCCCTGCGCTCCCGCGAGCGTGCGCCCGTGAGCGTCAGCGCGCGATGGCCCTGGGAAGCTGGAGCCCAAGGCCCTGATCAAAGCTTGCTGGTTTAGGGTTAAGGGTTTAGGGTTTAGGGTTTAGGGCTGAGTGTTTAGGGTTTAGGGCCTGTGGCTTTCGGATGCAGTCGACTGCTTCTGGAAGGCATACGCAGTCTGTGGGCTGGTGGTTTGATTAAGGTTTACAAAGCTGTTTAGAGGACTTACTATGGTGTGGTTTGGAGCTTACGGTTTTCGAGAAGTGACGTGATCGCACCAGACGATGTACAACGCATGATGCCACACCCCCAAGGCGACGACGATACGGTGGCAGTGTGTCGATAAGGGGTTTGCAGGTTTACAGAGCAACGACAGAAGAAGCTTAGCACAAATCCAGAAGCACGCCCTCGACCAAGAACCCTTGAACCTCAGGCGTAGGAAACAACTTCGAAGCCTCGCACTTGCCATCTCTCAATGGATGGCTTGAAGTTCCAGGGGCACGGCAGATTAGTTCGGAGCTGCTGCGAGGGGAAGTGTCAGAGGCGCTGCCGGCCGACAACGGAGGAACTGCCTCAGCAGCTCAACAGTTCTCTTACCTGACAAACCACACACCGAATCCACATACACACACACACACATGTGTGTGTGTGTGTGTGTACATAAGTACGCTCGTACGTCTAGAACTGCTTGAGCAATGGTCCCCCTAAGAAGGAGACTCGGACTCAAGGCGTTCAATCGGGACCTTGGGCACCCACACTGAGTACGGAGCCGCGAGGAGCACCGTTTCGTCAGCTTCGCAAGTGCCACGGCAAGATGGAGTGTCACAAAGACGCAGCTCAGCACCGCGCATTCCAACTGTGGCCGTCCAAGAAACCTCAAGCGAAGAGCAGAATAGGCGAACTACGAAGCTCCTAAGCTCCTAAGCTGAGGGTTTGGTGGGCACCAACACACAACCGACGAGCAAATGCGTGGGCACTTGTTCCTCTTAGACAAAGTAAAGAATAGTAGACTTGGTGCATCCTCTCTTGCCCATGACCCATGAGCCCGCCGCCATTTCTGCTCGTCGCAGTCCCGCCAGGGATCCGGCGCTGCGTTTTTGCTCCAGCGGGACCTCGGGGCACCACCCTAGCCGCAGGCATCTCGCTGTGTACCCGTCAAATGCTCCGTGGCAGGCCCCGCCAGATCAGACTAACTAGAGAAAGACCCACATATCAAGAGTGAAAGCACTCGCAGGCCCGCCAAGCAAACGCAACACCCGTTCAGCCACCCAACAGGGTTTGTTCTTCTTATGTCTACTTGTCACGCCCAGTGGTGGCAGCACGGGAGGCATTTTGAGCAGGCGTCTCCTCTCATTTGGGCATCTTGCGCGGAGGAGATACTTTCACTGATGCTTTCTAGAATCGCCAAGCTTTGTCGACTCTTGACACAATGGACGTCAACTTTGTACGTCCGGACATTAACTTCAGAAACGTCCCTCGGGGTGCATTTCATGAATGTTGCAAGCCCGCTAGGCGACTACGCAACGACAGCTATTCAATGCTCTTGTCCAGCCAGATCGGAAGGCTTCGCCGGGCTGTCTTGGCAAAGCCTGGCAAGTTCCAGACTTCCTCTGTTTCGTGACCTGTGCCATGTCCCCTGTTGCCTATGCCAGTTTAACAGGTCTCATGCATCTGAGGTCCATATAGCAGTCGTGCCATATCAGCCAACGACGAAAAACACCAACAAAAACACATTTGGACTTATGAGCCTCGGAATGCATGTCACGGAGGTCATCAATGTCCTACATGTCCATCTTATCATCATGCAGCTGCACTGCTCATATTGCAAGGCTCTCCACAACATGCACAACTTCATCTCCCTACACCAGAATCTCTCCTTTGTAGGTTTGTGGATGTTGCCTGCTTGCGACACTTGCGCAGATCTCCAGCAAACGACCTCACTCACACTCTTGCCCCCGAAATGTAAGTGGCGAAGACAAGACTTCACCTCGTGCGAGACATCGCCAGCTTCGCGAAGTGGGGCTTCACCGGCATCAGGATTGGCCTCTGCTTAGCTTCACGCTGGGCCGCTAGACCACTTGGTCACAAGTAGCACATCAAGCAGCGCAACGCACTGGGTCGAATCTCCCGAGTGACCAACATAAAGGATTGTGGAAGGGATACGACCGTATTCTGCAGGAAAGAAACCCCGCAAGAATGGGCCCCGAATCACGAAAAAGAGGCACACAAGCACATCAACACACGCATCCACAGAACACGCGTCCCAGCCTGATCTTCATTGATGTCACCAGCCGGAGGGCCCGGAGGACCTCTTTTGAGAAGGATCCATGTAGCTGCAGCCCCAAGCCCGTCGGGCCATACATTGGTTTTCGAACGATGTCAATAGTCAACAGATGGTAATCACTAATCACAGTTGTTACAATTCGTCCTCACATAGACTGTCAGACAAGAGGGTTGGCAAAACTTCAATCCACAGACGAAGGCTGCTGAAGCGATTAACCAGCCTCTCGCGCTCGAAGTGGGCACGTAGAAAAAGCTTCCATCCGAATTCCAATCGGCCAGCCCGAGACACCTGCCCAATGCGCTTGAAAGCTACGGATCAGTTACCCGTGAGGCCTGGCTTTCGCGATATGATTTCGATCACGGAAACCAGCACACCGCGAGCTGCAATGTACCTGCACTGCAACCTGCTTTGTATCTGTAGGGAGCTCCCTACAGCACTTATTATTCTCGCGATGGCGGCCAGCACACACTCTACGCCGACAGTGAAACACCGAAAGAAAGCCCCCGGTTCTGGCCAAGTGCTTTGCCTCGACTTGAGCAGGTCCACGTGCTCACGCAAGCCCGCGAGGACGTCGTCACTTTCCAGCGGCGTTGCCTCTCCACGGGAAAAGAAAAATGCTTCAGGGTACATGCGGCTGAAAGCGCCTGTAGCTCCTTGGAAAGTAAGGCGATCAAGTCCGTCCGCTTCGGAATCAAGGAGCCCTTCGCAGGCATGGCCGGGAGGAGCCGTTAGAGTTTTGATACGGCTGAACCCTGAAGTGCCTAAAGTGCTGAACCTTGAATTCAAGGCGGAACATCACGAGGTCAGACTTCAACTGCAGCCTATGAAACGGGGCAGCTTCACCTCGAAGATGGCCGTGGGATACACGGTCGGCACGAACTCGACATGAGGAACTTTGGCATGGTGCTTGAGCAGAGGGCCGACGGCCTGCCCAGAGACAGCGCTGCAGGAATCGCCAACGCGTCAAATCTGTCTAGGCAGGAAGCGCCGAAACTCCAATTAGAAATTAGAAGGCATCATCTGCGTTTCCATTTATGGGGGGATGACATTCGTCCATTGCCCGTGTCGACCCTTCCAGCGAATGCTCTAAGGCTTTCTTGCACTGCCATTCTGCTGGCGCGTCCTCGTGCAGTCAACGGTTCAGCTTTGGAGATCTGACATCGGCACCTGCTCCTGCACGCTGAAATCGCCCAGGAGGAGCGTTGGGATCTGAGCCGGGTCAGCGACGTGAAGCCTGGAGCTCAGCACGCCGACTTGCGAAGAAGGAGCAAAGTCGTGAACAGGGCTCTTTTGCAGAAGGCCTTCCGACGCAGTCGCAGAGTGCACGACGAGCAAGGCCGAAAGGCTCCGCCGGAAGATGCCTCGGGAGCTGGAGAATCTCAAGGGAAGTCAAGTCAGCATCGACTCTTGGGTCTCATCAAAACGCCGTCGAGCCTGACATTCAAACCAGCAAGACTGCCACATTTCGGGGCCGGGGTGTTCATCAGACCACAAGACATGTCGACATTCAGGTTCAGGAGTTGTGGGGCCGGCCAAGCGGCGCTGCTATGATTCGAAGCTGGAGAGCTTCCTTCTCGAGGAGGAACTGGGCCACTGCCACGGCCTGGTAGCTGCAGAGGCTGTGATGCATCGGGCTTACACCACGGGATAAGCAACGCATCGCAACACAAGCCAGCTGACTTTCAACAAGCATGAAGAGCCTTCGCCAGGTCATCTGGCAGAAGTTGCTCGGCCGCAAAGTCCTTGAGCTCCAGAGCCTCCTTGTCGTATATGATGACCTGGCAGGCGCTGGTGCGTTGATGTTCTTGCAGCACAACCCCCGCCAAAAGCCGGAAACAGCACACCCAGATTACATGGCCACAAGTGCGTTCAGAAGCTCCCGCCTGCTGGCTGTCTGGCTCATCACTCCCAGTATGTACTATGCCGAAGGCTTCCCGTGTATGCCTAAACTCATGGTCAAGTTGTTCCCGCAGCGTTTGCCAGCATCCTTGGAGGCAGAGGACGTGCTTTCGGCGTGTCGGGTGCCGGAGCATCTGCAAAACCAACTTGAAGATGCTTTGCTGATGGCTTTCACGATCTCGAAGAGCGATGCGAGAGCTGCTCAAGCTTTGCACATGCCACGAGCAGACGCGGATGGATAAAACTTCGGCCCCAATCGGCAGGTGGCGCGAGGGAAACTCCCATTGCTCACGGAGAGATCGAGTGATCGGCGTCTTGAAGCTTCCCAGCCACTGGTTCAAAGCACACTCCACGGATCCTTCCAGAAGGTCTTGTGCCTGTTTCAGCTTCTGCTCCAGCTGGCCGCCCTGAGCTGAATCTTGAGACAAGCGCCCGATGAGGTGACCCAAGATCTCCAGAACTTCGGATGCTGCCGCCGGCTCCCAGCCCATCTCCGAGTCGATCTCTGGCACCTCGGTGTTGATCCCTTGCATCTTCTCCTTCATGGCCTCCAGGCTGGCACCTCAGCCGCCGACTACACGAAGAGACAGAGACCGCGGCACAGTGCAGTCTGCCAGAAGGCCGAGGCCGCGGCCGAAAACCTCCAGGTCGGATAGAGCTGGCTCCTTGAACCCCTTCTCCAGCATCGCGTGCAGGGTTTCAGCATGGGCCGCGATCTGGGCCAGCTCCGCCACCCAGTGGCCAAATATCGGCTGAAGAGCCTTGAGCATGACAACGGATTCTTTGACGGCCATGTTGCGCTGTGCCAGGAAAACTGCCTTTTCCCACAGCCGCTTCACCTTAACAAGGCAGGGGGTCATGTTATGCAAAGAAGCTAGACAGCCAGCTGACCTGTTAGCCTCAGCCTGGCATTGCCCTGTGGCTATAGGCACGATGCACCTCAGATGCCTGCGCACGCAAACATGCCTGGGCGGAGGGCCTGCAGTAAAGAGCATCAGCTGAGGGTCTGGCGTACTTCATTGCCTTGGGAGTTTTTCCAGAATAGCTGTAGAGCCCGCCATCCACTACCTCGAGGAAGTCATACTCCTTGGTAATGGGAAGGACTTGGCCGTTGCTCACGTGGCCAAAGCGGATGACGTTCGTAATCTCGTAGAAACGAGACACGGACGCTCCATCCTTGAATAAAGGGACCTTTGCAAACGTCGTGATGAATGCAGTCCGCGACTTGTTGCCCCGTTCCAGAGCCTTCTCCAGGGGGATCCTTTCCTTCCCACCACTGAGGTCACGCACCTTCTCGCCCTTCTGCAACTCGTCGGTGCTCCAGGTCAGCACCTTCCCAGAATCCGCTGGATCCTCTCCGGCCTTCAATCCTCCCCAGAGGATGTTCGCTTGGCCTTCACATCTCTTACTAACGTCCTTCAGCCACTGCACCAGGCGGCACAGTGCCTCCTGCCGATCGGCTTCCACAGCCACAACATATTCTTCCATGTCTACATCGCAGGGATAGAGCATCGCAGTGAACCGGAAGCTTCCTGCCGGTCGAACGTCGCTAAGCACGCAGACACTGCGCACGACCCTGGCTAGGTCCGGACTCAGGTCTGGAAGAGAACGCTGCCTCAAGAGACCGACATCGAATAGTTCCGTTGCCGCCAGCACTTCTCATCTCCTTCTCAATGCCCAGGCAATCAAGAAACAGATTTGCGATGCGCTTAACCTCATTGGCTCTTGTCTCAGCTCGGGATTTCGCTGCTTGCGAATCTTCTGACAAAGGGCTGGACGATGGCGACGCGAAGCGAATGCAAAGTAGCTTCATGCCTTCGGCAGGTGACAAAGACATCGTGATCAGCGCCTTTTCCGAACTCAGCTCCACATACTGCTCCATATAGTTGCGGAAAACTTGCGGGGGTCCCGGGCTCAACTTCTGCGATCCGTGCCCGATCCTGCATATCTTGTCTGCCATCTGTGCCAGGATCGCTGGTGAAACTAGGCCTTCCACATTGAGGTTGCAAACTTCGCAAGCTTCTTGCTCTGAGTCTGGCAGTAATGCTGTGGGTAGGCAACACGGTACAATGAAGTCTTCCTTGAAGGCGCGCTTCAAGATCAGCTGCTTCTGCTCCATGATCTTGAGAATCATGTCTGTCATTCCCGGTGCCTCATCTTGCGCAAAATCCTTTCTCCACAACTTCTCAAGAAGACCTCGATTCACCAGGCCTTCCGTGTTCAGTCTCCGAAGGCCCGTAGCCAACACGCATTCCATGAGCTCCTCCCTGTAGGCCTTAGAGTGCTGGAGGTTTTTCTCGGTCCAGAAGCGCAAGCTGATGATCCGAGTCAAAGCCACGGCCACTTTTCGGATTGCTAGCAGCACGCTCTCTTTCAAGCCTGCCTCGTGAAACCAGCAAAGAACGCCCAGGCCATGCAGCAGGCTCAACACCTTGGGCACGTCTTCACCCACGACTGGACTTGGCCGAAGGCCAGCCAGCAGAGTCTTCACTTGCGAAAGTCCGAGCGACGTGCACGAGACCTTCACGAGCAGGTCATTTTCACTGCTGGCTCTTTCGAGCACATCAATACGGGCACCTTTTGGAACAAGGTGAGCATGGGTTCATCAGACTTCAAATTGATGCTAATCTTCGGTGCTCGGAGATCCTTGGCTTTCATGCTTTCTTCCGGATGCTCCCGAAGTCGCGCCTCTGGTACCTTGACTTTCATGCCGTCTCCCAGTCCAGTGAGAAGGTCATGAGCCCGAAGCCATGCCACCGGATACTTCTGCGACTGTAGTCCAGCATGCGCTTTCTTCTTCACTGCATCTTGCCTAGCGGGCAGAAGCAGCTCTGTAGTCAAGCCGTTCAGCCTCTCCCGGAGCGGTTTGATGTAGCTCTCCACATCCTCTGCGAAGTTTTCAACCGGGTAGACCCACCTGGAGCGGCATGACTGAGAAACTCCAGGTCCTGCTTGAAGCTGGCGCTTGAGCCTTGGCACATACTTGAGAAATAAGTCCACACGGCTGTCCAGGTCCTGCTCGTCCAGCCGCTTCTTCGACCACTTTGTGGCAACCAACAGGACTGGCGGAGCTGCAGTGCTCTCGCGCGCTGGAGCATTGTCATCGAACGCGTACTGGGCAACAGCCCAGAGCCAGAACCGCAGCTCGGGCCAAGCATCGTCCAACTCCTGGCTCACATCCACAAAAGCCAAATAAATGCCTCGACCGTGAAAATACAGAAGGTTGCACTGGGCGTACTCATTTTGCCCTGGGAAGTCCCAGCACTGCAGTCTTGGCCGCAAGGGCTCTTCGTGGTCGCCGGCCTTCTCCATGTCCAAGAAGAGCTGGTCATCCATGAGTCTGGGGCCAAGGGATTCCTCCGCGTTCTGCTGCGCAGCCTGGTAGCAGCTGAAGCCCATACTATCGCTCCTACCTGTTTCCATGCGAAAAGCATATCTCTGTATCGTACTCCCTTTCTCTCTGTTTTCGGGCTCGGCCTCGTCCGCGAGTTTTTGAGGAATCTCTTCGTTGGGATTCGCCTCCTCCGCATTCTGTGGCACATTGAGCCGAACAGGCTCCTTGCAGCCAGCACGCTCTTTATTTCTAACTCCGTTCTTCCCTGACCCACTCGCTCGCCCTCCGTACAAGCTAAAGCGAGCTGGTCCAAGCGCATGCAGCTGTCCTTTGGCAGGCCTCTCGATCCAGCTGCATCTTCGGCAGGTGCTGGCTTGTCGAGGTCCTCCTTCACTGCCATCCACACCACGGTGTTCGGATCTGGCTGTCGCTTTTCACGATGCTTCGTTGCGCGAATGGCGTCGACGGCACTGGCATCGAACATGCTCCTGTCGCACTCCTACCAACTCTACAACTCTTCTGGTCGCTGTAGGCTTTGGGAGGAGACGTAGCCGAAAAAGCTCATGAGTGCGAAACGGCTACAGCTGTCCCACCCGCGAGCCCCGGAGATGACCTTTGCTCTTCGGGTCTCAAACCCCCGGGAAAAGGAGCCCAAGCTGTCCTAAGGCTTCGGATAATTTGGCTTTGTTACGGTTCCTCATTATGAATTCCTTCTATATAAGTCCTTAAGAAGGTTGGTTATTTCCGGTAAAGGATGAATTCGTGCAAGCTGCTCGATTCTGCTAGATCATGTAAGGCGGACTCAGCAGGCCTACGCAGGTATCCGTCGAGGATACCCGCGACCTACCTCACGTTAGTTGTATGCACATGACACTACGAGGTGTTGTGAGGTCAGGGACATCCGTACTCGAACGAAAGCTCCTTCAGCTCTTCCGGGATCTCTTCCTGCCCGGGCAGGAGCATCTTGACGATGAACGACTGTTAGATTGGGAGAGACTCAGCGGTGTTTTGGTGTGAACGAAGGAAACCGTAGGGATTGGAGGATCTCGACTTGAGAATGACCGCCTTCGATTAAAAAAACAAGTGTTTCAAACTCGAGTTGAGGGTATGAGGGGAGAACACGACGAGTGCCCAGGCCCAGTCCACTGACAGAGGCCTTCAATGCCTGCAGCTTTGGGTTTCTGAACAAGCGGGGACCTGTCTGCCCAAGACCCGGAGCCCTGGTTGTTGCTGTTGAGTTTGCATGGCCGAGCCTCAGATCTGTGACAGCCACAGATCGACGGGGTTTGCTCAAAAACAGGCTGAGCAGGGATCTAGCTCGGATAAACTTTCCACCAGAGTTTCGATTCGCAACAGGCTCTCAACCTTGCTTGGAAAGGGCGTGGCATGGCCTGGAAGTAACAATACTCACAATGACAAGTCTGTTCTTGTATAGGAGTATGGCTGCTGCTATCCATGCACATCAGGACACGCCCGCCGCCAACGCTCCGAAAGAAGACTTCGACCCTGGATCTGCCTCCGACATCCTGCAGGAAGAGGCCGCAGTCGGGCGCTTGGAAGGCCTTGCACCTCCGGGTCGAGCCGTAAGAGATCGGGCTCACGGGGAATTCGCCGCCACGGCGGATCTTTTGATTTCAGCTTGGGGGCTCAACATGCAGGTACCCTCGGCCCTCAAACCTTCTTTGGTACCTTCTGGACTCTGAGGAGCTTCGATCCCGCAGTAGAACAGAACGTGAGAGGAAGCCCTGATGCGACGATTCGAAGCCCCCGAAACCCCCATTGCCCTGGCAGACCTTGGGCCCAAGCTGGCGAAGGGGCGACGGCTGTTCGGAAGTCGGAGTCCCGTGCTCTGTGTCTTGCTTTCGTGCCGTGTTTCAGGCTTCAGGTTGCCTTAGGGTACGGTTTTCTTCACCCGACTCGCCTCCTTTCAACATGCGGACAGTGAGAGACTTCGAGTCCCAGAAAGGAGAGCGTGGCTTGAGCTGAAATCCACGGGAACTGCAAGTCTGCCATGGAACCATGGGTCCCACGGACGTGAAACCATCAGCGCATGGCAAGGCAGTGCAAGGCAGAACCCATTCTCCGTCGTCTCTAGACCCTGATTGCCTCGGCCCCAGTCATCACTCGCTGGGCTCACGGACGCAATGTGCAACGGTATCCGACCTCAGACAAGCATGCGAAATCCTGCCAAAACTCTTTCATGCTAAGATTCATTACCCATGAGTGCATGAAAGACTGCCACTATGTCCTCTGCAACGCAACAATCCAGAACTCCGGCCATCATTGCTCGAAAGTCTTCCTACATCCCAGCTCCCCAATCACGGCTCGACGCAAGACCTGACACCCTGCTTCACCTCCCTCACAAGATTCTGCCCTACGCTCTTTGAGCTCTCCCAAGCATTAAGCCCCAAAACCATGCACTCCCAGGATTGGGGCAGCGACGATGGAGAGCAGGGGCTTGGGAGCTCCCACCACCTGATCCGACATGAGAAGGAGCTGCAGCGACCAACAGGGCTCAACGACCTGTGGCCTCAGGGTTTGGAAGGAAGACGAAGGAAGGGTTGAAGAGACTTTTTGAGTAGCCGGCTCGAACCAGAAGATGGGATCTGGACGCAGCAGCACCCTGGCCACCTGGCCATGGCTCGGGGAGCTTGCGCAAGCACTCTCAGGCAATCTCCCAAACCTGCACCCCCATGTCGAAGACTCTCTCGAGCTACAGACCGACGAACCGAAGGCACGCCCGGAGACCCGCTGTAAAGCCAAGAAAGGTCGTGCTTGCGAGGCACGGAAGCAGGCAAGGAAGCAAACTCGAACACCCCGAGAAGCCATCAAGACTGCAGAACCTCACATTCCAACTCCAACTCCCAAACCACACGCTCCTGAGATCGGGAGCTCGGAGAGGCGAAGGCCCCAAAACAAAACGCCTCGAATCGCGGTGACCAGTGACCCAAGGGATGGGAGACTTAGACGTGTCGGACCCCTTGATGCAGCTTCCTGAAGCATTACTTGGCGCACCGTCGCTCGCCCCTGCGAGATGCATCAGTATCCCTCTTCGGCACCGCAGATTCTGCAGAGAGGGATGTAAACGCCTTCATTAACTACTCTTCATCTAATGGACCATGTGGCACAAGGGTTGTGTCAAACACTCAGACTGTTGCTCCCTGAGTGCACGGCCATAGCCCTCGGCTGTCAAAGCGCGGCGACGCAGAGGAGGCAGGCCTCTGCTTTCAAACCGATGACCGAGAGACGAGGAGCTTGCGAGTCCATCGTAGAACCCTACCCAAACCAAGGAGAGCAGGATGAGAAGTGGCCCAGCCGCTCGGCGCGTGCAGTCGGACTCAGCTAGTCGACTGGGGCTTGTTCTGAACTACTACTGTTGCTAGTGCGATTACTAGTGTTACTCTTGCCACGGCTATTACGAACTATTGTTCTTGCTATTACTACTCTGATCACGATTACCACACAGGAGCACTTCGAGAGGACTCTGATTGCTGAGCGCCAAGCAGGCGAAGAACGGAAGTAAGGAATGTCTGGACTGGACAACAAGCCTGGCCATAAACCCGAAGCCCCCAAATCATTTAACAAACAATCTGCACACCGGAAACCCGAAGCCCTGATGAAGGAGAAATAACATAGGCCATGGGAACTGTGCACTGAGGCACTCCATCACCGCGAAAATCTCTTAACAGATGCAGCCTTCTACGATCTGTTTCACAAGACTGTATGCAATGAGGCCAAGCAAGACTCACGACCTGTGGTGGTTCGGAATACGCTTTACTGTTTTGTTGCATGCAAGACCAAAAACATCGAGAACGAACCAATGACAGCCTTTGCCAGCAACCACTCAGGCTATCCTTCAGCACCTTTGGCCCTGAAACTGGGGCCGAAGCCCAGGAGAGCGATTTTTCGGCTGCGTCACCTTGGCAGGAAAGAATCAGCAAGGGTCAAACCGTGAGAGGCCCAGAATACTTACTGTAGGGAGTGCGGCTTCTGCGGCGCCCTCAAGATTTGGGCATCTGGGAAGAAGGACCTGTTTGCCAGAATCGCCGATCTTCGTCGATTCGTTGCAAGAAGACGTCAACTTTGTTTTGTACGTCCGGACACTCCGTACATTCACACATGCCTTCAGAAATGTCCCTTCGGGCTCATCTCCAACTTAGGCAAACCCCAACTACAGCATTCACGCACCGACCCTTCACTGCAGCCGGTCCAGAGAATTCGGAATGCTTGGTTGTGTATTCTTCACCACTCCTGGCAAGGCTGCAGTCTCTTCTGCCTGGTGTCGTGACGTAAACTCAGATTCTGATCGCCAATGTAACTCAAAACGCCAATGCAATTGCGAGGCCAGAACTCCGACGTGGGCCGTGGGTATCTAGAACTTGAACAATCAGTGCGGAGACCGACGCCGATGATTTCTTCAGAATGTATGAAAAATGTGATCCTCCTTTGCGGTTCGACGCTCGCGACCCTGGATGTGGCCACGGCCAGTCTCTTGGGTGGAAGCCTTGAGACCCTGGACTCCAAACTACTTCATGGCGGAAGCAGAAATCAAGAAATCGACATAATGCGCAAGCAAACAAAACTCACAGAGGCATTATATGGTCTTCGAACATCGATCCATGCGACCTTGTTTCACGACGCGTCTCCGAATTTTTATTCGAACCACGGATCCTTGCACCGTCTCGAAAATATAGTGCTGTAAATAAATGGCAACATGCAAACTGTTTTGCAGTCTCAGTAGAGCGGTATCAGTATACAAATCAAAGAAGTGAGAACGACTGCTACGGTGTAAATTAATTCTTCTGGCATATCGCCGTGGGCATGCGTAGGAACCGCGCTCACAAAACTCCGTGAAGGCTTCAGGGGTTTCAGGATTCGCTGTGGGTCGCATGGTGGTTTTCAGCAACAACTCCCAACCGTCACCCATGTTGCTCAGCTGCTCTAAACAATCGCTGCATGTTCGGACACGCATGTTGACTGCTTCCCGCTGCTGCCGAGATTCCAAAACAAGCTCCGAATGAACAAAAGCACACACACACACACAACGCAATTCCGAGAACAAGCCAACTCGACATGCTGGATGTCAGCTCTGGAGCAAGCGGGTCTTACCAGCCTGCTGCGGCTCAAGCGGTCATGTTCGCGAAGCTTCCATCTGTGTCCCAATCAGCCAGTCCCAGACACCTGCACAGATTGCATGGGAAAGCCGCGATTCAATCAACTGTGGGCCGTGTAGTCTTGTGGGCAGCACATCAAGAAACATGGAGCAGCAGGGATCAAGCAACCAAACGACTGCGACAGCCCAAGCACTTCTGACCAAGGGCGTTGCCTCGACTTGAGCAGCTCCACGTGCTTCTCCAAGCCTGCGACGACCTCGTGAGCTTCCAGCGGCTTTGCCTCACCAGAAGTCGCAAGAAGATTCAGGATGCACGGCTTCCATCGGCTTCCCATCTGGTCATTCCGGGGTTTAGACGAAGCCGGGATCTCGATTGTGGGATGCCCTTCTGAATCGAAACTTCTTGTTAAAAGCTTCATCGCAAGTCGGGAAAGCCGGAGGGGATCTGCCAGGATTAAAATACCTGCGATACCATCGGACGTCTTGAAAGATGCGCACAATGACGGAGAGGAGCCTTGAGATCATCCGAAAGAGAGACGATGGTGTCCGTCCGGTTCGGAAGCAGCGAGCCCTGCGTGCAGCAGCCCTAAGTTAGTGCCCGACAACTGTCTTGCGGCTTAGGGTTTATAGGGTTTGGGGTTTGGGGTTTAGGGTTTAGGGTTTAGGGGTACTAGGGTTTAGGGTTTAGGGTTTAAGGTTTAGGGGTTTAGGGTTTAGGGGTGGATGTGAGCATCTGAAGACTTGGGCCAGTGAGGTGCCGGTGGCCCCATTCCATTACAACCTGTATTGTCGCCCTGTTCACAACCCATATAGTAAACCTTAGAATGACCCAGTGTAGTAGCCCTTGCAGTCAGTCAACCCGATGCTGCAGACAGGCCTTGAAGGTTGCTGTCGGATATGGGATCGACGCGAACTCGACATGCGGAACATTGGCATGGTGCTTCAGCAGAGGGCCAATGGCCTGCACCGCAGGGATTGCAACAAAGGAAAGCCCCAAAGCGTGGGGAGCCACGAAACGTTTCAGACGGCTGCACAAGGCACTACACGATATGGAAGGGCTTTGTCTCCTCCAGCGTAGAACTGCACGGTGCTCTCTTGAAGACGGTCGATTTGCCCTGCCTGCTCCTGGACGCTGAGATCGCCCAGGAGGAGCGATGGGATGTGGGCCGGATCGTCTGCATGGAGCCTGGACAAAAACTTAGGACAGTAGTGCGCTTTCCAGGTGGCTGTGAAGCGCAGCCCCCGTCCCCAGCCTTCGAACGCAGTCGCAGAGTGCGCGGCGTGCAAGGCCAAACGGCTCGACGGGAAGATGCCTTAGCAGCTGCGAGAACGCAAAGGCTGTCTAGAGTGTGTAGAGTCTGTAGACTCGCTGAGGAATTGAGGACCTAACGTTTAGAATATCCTACCTGCATGGATCGCAAAGTGATGCCCACTTTGGGTCCTCTCCTCTCATCATTTTCGAGCCAGCGGTTTATGAAAGCCTGTGCCCGGGCCGTCATGCTGAAGATGAAGCAGGCTCGAAAACGTCCCGAATCGATTTTGGGGTTGGCAGCCGGCCAAGTGGCGCTGTGATGATTCGAAGCTGTCGAGACTCATCCTTGAGGAGAAACTGAGCCACTGCCACAGCCTGGCGGCCGTGCTTCACGCATTCGTTTCGCATGGCATGTCAAGGCGATCGACAGCGGGGGTGATTCAGCTACGCTTCGCGATTGGTAGTAGAGATCTCTCTCGGAGGAAGCCTAGCGGGGCAAGCTACTAGCAGTTTGAAGAAAAGGCTGAGACCAAGCTTGCAGAGCCTTCTTCCGGTCTGCTGGGAACAATCGCTTCCGGTCAGCTGGGAAAAGCTGTTCACTGGCAAAGTCCTTCAGCACCACGGTATCTTTGCAGTAGATGATGGCCTGTCGCGCACTTGCATGCTAGAATGTCTGAGCAAAGACTGTCCGGCAAGACTGCAAGCATCTGCAGGTAGCCGCAAAGCATTTCAGAAGCCCTGCCTGCTGACAGTCTGTGTCGGCGTCTCTTCCGGTACATACCATGTCAAACTCCTTCCGTGTCTGCTTCAATTGGTGGTCAATTTGCTCTAGCAGCTTTTGCCAGCATCCTTGGAGGCAGAGAACGTCTTTGCGCTTTGTCGAATGCAAGGTCGGATGCAAGACAATCTGGAAGACCATGTCGACGATGCGCTGTTGACGCTCTTCGTCGCTCCAGGCGGCGGCACCACAGCCATCCAGGCTCCGCAAGTTCCATGAGCACACAAAGCTGGAGCCGACGGTAGCTCCGATGGGCAGGTGGCACGAAGGAAACGCCCAGTCTTCCTGGAGAGGTCTGGTGATTGCCGTGATGCTTCCCAACCACTGGTTCAGAGTGCACTCAACGCAAGCATCGAGAAGTTCCGCTGCCTCTTCCAGCAGGTGACCAAGCCCGCCATCATCTTTGGAAACTTGTGGGAGGTGCAGGATGAGATACTCGATGGTCTCCAGGACATCGGACGCCGCGGCCCTCACCCAAGTCTTGTCAGAGTCGGTCTCCCTCACGCTGAGCATCCTCTGGTCCATGTCCTCCAGACTTGCACCTCGGGTGGAGACTGCAGCTCATGGAAGGAGGCCTGGAGTGCAAAGATGCTGAGGCCCCGGCCGAAAACCTCCATGTCGGATAGCACTGCATCTTTGAAGCCCTTCTGCAGCATTGAATGTAGCGTCTCGGCATGGGCCGCGATCTGGGCCAGTTCCGCCACCCAATGGCCAAAGATGGGCTGCAGAACCTTGAGCATGATCAGGGACTCCTCAACGGCCATGTTTCGTTGAGCCAGATAAACTGCCCGTTCCCAAAGGCGTTTAACCTCAACGGAGCAAAGCAGCATCTGACAGACTGATAGGCACCATGACCCTAGAATCCTAGAAGGCTCCCCTCACCGCTAGAATGCACGGTCTTGGACAGAGAACGCGTTGGCTTGGTGCACCTGCCTCGCAAGCCAGGCAAAGACAAAACCTGAGAAGCGGTAACGAGCATCAACTGAGGCTCCGGCATACTTCATAGCCTTCGGAGTTTTACCACAATAGCTGAACGAGCATCCGTCCAGAACCTCCAGGAAGTCGTACTCCTTTGTGACAGGCATGATCTGGCCCTTGAGCACATGCCCGAACCGGATGACGTTAGTAATTTCGAAGAACCGCTCTGCAGAGGTTTGACCACTAAACAAGCTGACTTTTGCAAAGATCGTAATGAAAGCGGTTCGGGACTTGTTGCCCTCTTTGAGGGCCTGGTCGAATGGGACCGTCTGTTGCCGACCTCCGACCGCACAGACTTTCTTGCCATTCGATATCTCGTCCGTGCTCCATGTCAGAACCTTCCCTGGCTTCATCGGATCCTCACCTGCTTTCAAGCCACCCCAATAGATTTTTCTTTCTTCACATCGTGTGCCCACAATCTTCAGCCACTCCACGAGGCGGCCCAGCGCAGCATTTTGATCGGCTTCCACAGCCACAACATACTCCTCCATGTCCACATCGCAGGGATAGAGCATTGTGCTGAATCGGAAGCTTCCCGCAGGACGAACGTCACTGAGAACGCAAACACTGCGTACAACCTTGGCCAGGACAAGACTCAGGTCCGGCAAGAACCGCTGCTTCAAGAAACCGACATCGGACGGCTTCCGTCCGTCCAGGAACAGCTGTGGGTCGAAGTCCGTAGCTCCGCTGGTAACGACAAGTTTGCTTTGCATCTGCTTCGCAATGCCGAGACAGTCAAAGAAGAGGTCAATGATGCGGCTCAGTTCGTTGGCTTTCGTCTCAGACCGAGATTGATATTCTTCTGCATCCTCTTCGGACAGATGGCTGGGCGACGGTGATGACGTCACTCGGACTCGAAGTAGCTGAAAGCCGTCTACAGGCGACAGAGACATGCTAATCAGCGTCTGCTCGGAACTCAGCTCAACATAGTTTCGGAATATCTGTGGAGGACCCGGGCTCAACTTCCGAGATCCACGGCTACTCAGGCTACTCTTGCATATCAGATCTGCCGTTTGTGACAGGATGCTGGGTGTGACCAGGCCATGCAAGTTCAGGTAGCAGACTTCACAGGCTTCTCGTGCTGACTGCGGCACTACTGCTGCTGGTAGGCAACAAGGCACAACGAAATCGTTCTGGAAGGCGCGCTTCAAGACAAGGCCCTTGTGTTCCATGATCTTGAGCACCATGTTGGTCATTGACTGAATATCGCTTTGGCCGAAGTCTTCTGCCCACAGCTTTTGAAGGACATCTCGATTCACAAAGCCTTCGGTGTTCAGTCTACGACGGCTGGTGGCCGACACACACGAGAACAGCTCCGTTTTGTAGGTCTCTGAGTGCTGGAGCCCTTTCTCGGCCCAGAAGCGTAAGCTGATGATCCGAGTCAACGCAACAGCCACTTTGCGGATCGCTAATAGGACATTCTCGTTCAGCCCTTCCTCGGAAAACCAGAAAAGGACACCCAGGCCATGCAGCAAGCTCAACACCTTCGGCACATCTTCTCCAACGATTGGTCGTGGCTTCATCCCACCCAAAAGACTCCGCACTTGCGACAGTCCCAGAGAAGTGCATGAGACTTTTAAGAGGAGAACATCGCCAGTGTCATCAGAACTTCCCAGGACTTGGACACGCGCGCCCTTTGGCACAAGGATCCTCTCCCCAATACGGGTCAGCATGGGTTCGTCAGACTTCAAAGTGAAGCTGGAGTTCGGTTCTAGCAAGTCGCTGTCTCCCATACTCGGCTCGGCTGTGGCAGGTCCACTATGCCTCTCGGTGCGCTGCAGATGTGCTTGCAGTTGTGCTCTTGGGATTGTCACGTCCATGCCATCCCCCAGGCCAGTGAGAAGGTCGTGAGCCCTGAGCCACGCCACTGGGTACGTCGTCGACTGCAGGCCAGCATAGGCTTTCTTGTTCACTGCATCTTGCCTTGCAGGCAGAAGCAACTCTGCAGCGAGCTCGTTCAGCCTCTCCCGGAGCGGTGTGATGTAGCTCTCCACATCCTCTGCGAAGTTTTCAACCGGGTAGACCCACCTGGAGCGGCATGACTGAGAAACTCCAGGTCCCGCCTGAAGCTGGCTTTTCAGCCTTGGCAGAAAATCGAGAAATGAGTCCACACGGCTGTCCAGGTCCTGCTCGTCCAGCCGCTTCTTCGACCACTTTGTGGCAACCAACAGGACTGGCGGAGCTGCAGTGCTCTCGCGCGCTGGAGCATTGTCATCGAACGCGTACTGGGCAACAGCCCAGAGCCAGAACCGCAGCTCGGGCCAAGCATCGTCCAACTCCTGGCTAACGTCCACAAAAGCCAAATAAATGCCTCGACCGTGAAAATACAGAAGGTTGCACTGGGCGTACACATTTTGCCCTGGGAAGTCCCAGCACTGCAGTCTTGGCCGCAAGGGCTCTTCGTGGTCGCCGGCCTTCTCCATGTCCAAGAAGAGCTGGTCATCCATGAGTCTGGGGCCCAGGGATTCCTCCGCGTTCTGCTGCGCAGCCTGGCTCTCGCTCCTCTCCGTTTCCCTGCTTACTGTGTGTCTCTGTGTCTCTCTCCCTTCTCCTCTCTCCTCGGGCTCGGCCTCGTCGGCGAGCTTTTGAGGAATCGCTTCGTTGGGGTCCGTCTTCTCCGCGTTCTGTGGTGCAGTCAGTCGAACAGGCTCCTGGCAGCATGCTGTTCGATCACTTACTCGGTCCTTCCCTCACTTACCCTCCGCTTGCTCTCAGCGCAAGATGCGTCCTTTGGCAAGTCTGTCGATCCAGCTGCATCTTCCGCAGGTGGCGGCGTGTCAGGGGGCTTCTTGACCTCCTGGATCTCCTTAACCTCCTGGACCCGCTCTCCCATCGGCACCTCGGGTTTTGGACCTCGGCCTTGCTCTGGCTGTCGCTTCTTTTCGCCCTGCTTCGTCGTGCGAATGGCGTCGACAGCGCTGGCATCGAACATGCTCCTGCCACAATCCTGCCACGAAGACGAGAGATCGCCCCGTGCCTGTCCAGCCCACAACTCCACTCCATAGGTGGAGTCTTCTGCGCCTTCTTGCACCGCCTCCCCCTTCAGGCGCCTGGCACCACCGGTTCCGCCGATGTGCTGTTAAATTCACAGGCATCTACAAATCTACGGACACGTAGAGACCTAAAAAATTGCAGATAAATTTCGACAGCCGGGTCTCATTGGTAGGGCCAGCTCTCATTATTCACTTACTTGACGAAACGTGGGTCGGGCGTCCGAGACGCAACTCGAGGACTTCCGGACACTCGCAAGTCCCCTCGAATGTGCGGCCTGAGAGTTGTTGTCTTGCCGGCCCGGCCCTGCCCCACGAAGCAGAGGCGCACCACGGGCAGCGGCGCAACGCCCCTGCGCTGCCATTCATCGAAATGCAGTTTGAGATCCTGACAAGGCTCCAGGATACCCGTCGAAGTCGAAACGGAGTTTTGTGATGCTTACACGGATTCTGGAATGGAATGCACAGCATCAAGTTGATTCGATACAACTGCATGCTCGCACGAGACGCAAGCATGCAGCTACTGCCGAAGATCGATCACACAGAAACTGTGCAGTCACAGGGATGAGACTACTCTTTAAGCTTCGGAGGTGGCGTGGCCTGCGTTTTCCACAGATGAAGGCGGGAAAATTCTTCACGACTGAGAGATACCTTTAATAATCTTGAATAGCGAAGCACCAGCACTGTTGTCACAATTGCAACCGTCACAACACAGAAAGATCGGATGACAATGCAGCGGGCATCCTCTTGGTTTGTCGCCTTTGGAGCAGCAATGTCAGGAACGGGGGGGGGTGGTTTGGAGGAGCGGCTTACCACTCACTGCACGGACACGTGCCACCACAGGCTGGCGATAATGACGAAACGACAGACATCCTTTCTGGGATGCTAACCACGAGAATAACAGTGGCATTAGCCGTCCCGGAAATGGTTTGGCTCAGCCTCGCTCCTCGCCAGTACCATAACGAGAACTACGACGGGTTCAGAGTTCATGCTACGTTCAGGAAATGGCATCAGCCGCCCTCCGTGGCTCCAAGTTTCTGAGCCTGCCATAAACCTTTCAGCTTCAGCTGCACGGATGAACCGACCGACGGCCTCTGATCGCTCGCGGACGGACCAACAGATCGACGTGAAAGGAGGGTGGGCGCGTCGGCGGACCGACTGACTGAAGCAGTTCCGCGGGCGACACTTGCACTTGTGGGACTGCTTTGCATCCTTCGATTCGAACCTTATTCAAAGCTGAGCTTTGTTGCAGCCCTGTCTGGAAGACAACTGTCTTTTGCACGGCCAAACAACGGGGATGTAAGACGGTAAAGGATCGTAATGTACCCCCTGGCCCTGAGCAACCTAAATGAGGACGAGACTGTCGGCGACAGCCTTCAAAACCTGCTGGCCATGCCTTTGAGCGTTTCTCCGACAGGGATCCAGCGAGACAGCCGCGACAGTTCGCGATAAAGTGCTGAAAGCTAGGGCGCACCGGCGCACCGCTGCTTTGTTCAAACAAACCGGACAAGCCCGCTGGTTTGTGTCTTGTTCTCGTGGACTTTGAAAGAGGTGGGTTGTCTCAAGGTCGCGTCATGAGTTGCTGTTGTTCGGTTGCGAGTCCTCCGGACTGACAAGGCCCAGCCTGTACAGCCCTGCAAAAGTAATCTTAACCCCTAAACCCTAAACCCTGAACCCTAAGCCCTTAACCCCGGAACCCTAAACCCCGAAACCCTAAACCTTGAAACCCTAAACCCTAACATGACTGATGAGACTCACCAGCCTCGCGCTCGCGAGCTTCCTTTTGCCGTCGGTTTGTCGCAAGAAGCTCTTCGATGGCCTCGCAGGCAAAGGGAGCAAAATCCGGCCGCGGTGCCGGTAAAACCACCGGGCCTCGAATTGCTCGTCGCCGATGCTGTTGTAACCGAGCTCAATGTTCGTGATCGTGCTGTTGATTTTGATCGCCTCTGCCAAAGCCTCG